TTCTCATAGAGAGTAAGTACCAAAAGCTATAATCTTGCTTTAATTTCAATAGCTGAATAGGTTTTGGGGTACAATTTCCAGCCCTGAAAGTATGATACAGGTATGAATTAATCATATTTCTTCCTCTCTCCCCGCAACAATGGCTTACATTACTAAGATTGGTTTTTTTAAGGTAATGTCCCAAAACTAAACGAGCATAGGTGCAAAGGGAAACTCCCCAGTGCTGTGCAGTGCATTTTTACCATGCAAATAAAGCAAATCTCAAAGGCTCACTGTAAATGCCAACGTTATATGTTTTATTTTTAATCAAGTAATTTTTTTAAACCTCACAATATCCATGACTGACAGGAAAAAAAGACATTAGGCATGAAATGAGAATATAAAATACATGACATGTAGAAAGGCAATCAGTGCTTTAGTCCCTCAAGACAGTAAACAGGTGAAATGACCTTCAAAGTTTCAACTCACGGCTTTTTTCTTACAACATAATATTCAAGTGATTTTTCTTTTATTCCACCTTGTAAACAACATACAAGTCAAAATGGACAATGAGGTAATCTATACTACAGAAGATAATTTAAAAACACTAGATAAGACACAGTATTAAAGACATATAGAAATCAGTGTTCACTTTGGTCTCTAGTATGGTTATTGTTATTATTATCACAAGCAACACATACTAGTTTAAGCCAGTCTGGTGATGTTTGTCAGACARTTGTTGCTTAACTTAGTAATCCAAGAGGTAGTCAAAACCATTATCCTTTGTAAAGACAGTTGCTCATACATTTGGTTCAATGACAGTAGTAGCAAATACCTTGCTACTTTTCAACATTCTCAGAAAAATGCTGCCACAGCTGCTAACGTACAGCTCTGGTTTATATTAAAAAAGGAGAAGCTTGTGTTCACAGATCAACCTGTTGTTATCAGTCAACAGTTGTAACAGGGGTAACACAACCACCGGATCTTAAAGAGGCTGTTGATAAACTAAAMAAAATAAGATTGATGCATTTAACAAGGCTCTGCTTGTTTCTAAAACAATACTCAAATCTCATTAAGACTTCTAGGAAATTAAAATCAGTGCATCTGCACATGTACATATCTTCCCAATTACTTTTATATCTAGCACGGGGGAATACATATATATTTTTATGATAAACATTTCTTACAGATAAATTAATTAAATTAAATTTAAGACTCGATGCGATTTYCCATGTTCTTTATAATCCTTCTTACAAAGAATGGTACAAGATCTATAAGAACTTTTTTTTTTTTTAAATGGGGTTCTATTAACAATACTAAGCATGACCAAGCAGGAACTCCAGGATAACACTGGTGCAGAATAAAATGGCTGAAAAAGGTGGCCTGCAACGGGACGAGGTAGGATCCAAATGTGGTCTTTGGCACTCCCTGAAAGCTGGCTAAAGGCAAAACTGCAAATGGTATTACAACACCAGATTTACGATTAACTGCAGCAAAAATTTATTTGGCTCTTCCTCCAAATACAAGTCTTCCTCATGGCGTAACTTTTGCAGCGTGTAATTAAATACCATGACCTCTCCTTGGGGAAGAGTAAAAAAATACCTCACAATGTCCCTTACAATTAAATCACATTGGGTATTTTGGGGTGGGGGAAGGGGAGGAAGAAAGATTCTTGCTCCTGGTTTAACCTTATCTCCACTATTGTGAGAAGAAAAATACATCTGACTGAGCAGATATTTGAGCTATTTCTACTCAAACGAGTTTTATTGTGGAGCATTCTGGAAAGGACAGGCTGGTGAACAGACAGAAATCTAGCCTGAGTGAATGCTGTAGAATATTAATTYTGTCCTTTGACATGAAGGAAGAATCCCAAACTCAGTCTGTGCCTCCTCCTTTAAAAGGTACTTTGCTTATTAGGARCAGCCTACTGAAGGAATATAAGTAGATTTTTTTCCTCCTGCAGCCCAGTGCTAAGTAGTTCCCTGCTGCAGCTTCTGCTGCTGTATGTTTAACTTAGGCATGTACATTTTTGTCTCAGTATTTATTTCCATGAACAGTGCCCATAATCCTTTAGACAGAAAAAAAAAAACTTTGAAAGAAATGTTTGGAAAGGTCTCCTAATTTCAAATGATGCTTTATCTTAAACAAGTATTTATCACAACGTTTGCAGTGGTTACATATTCAGTACAGATAAAACGTATGTACCATAGATCAACAGCCACCTTTAAGGCCAGAGCAGCACAAAGGTGTGTTCATGCAGTAGATATGAGGTAGCCTTTTGCTGTAAACAGAATAATAATTTTATTGTCACCTATGTAAACAAAGTGGGCTTGATGCTTTTGTGTTTTTATTCTTCCCCCTCCACCCCCCATCCCCTATCCCTCCCCTCCTAGAAAAGCTAAGCACCAGTAACTCCMACTGGAAGCCAGTGGGAGCTGTGGATGCTCAGCATCTCTGAAAACTCAGACCCTGTGAATGTAAAGACACAAATGCTCACGTAAGCAACCAGTACAGAATACCACGTCATCATTTCACAGGAACTTACAATACAAAACGCTGAGATCTGATTATCAGAAACGTAGTCTATGTCAACTCAGAGGTAGTTACTAACATCAGTACATAATACTTATAYAGAGATAAAAAGGTCTAAGACTATTTGGTTTGTTCTGAGTAAGCAGGTCTGTAGACTATTCTGTAAAGAAAAAACAACATCACATGGTATATTCCCTGAGCAAAGTTCTTTGTCCTGAGTATGTTATGTAACAGTGATAACATTCTAATATATAAAAATAAAACCTTAAGCTTTCAACAATAAGATAGGGTTTGGTATGTGCTCTTAGCAGTTCAGTCTGACTTTGGTGCGCACAGTGATTTCAAACAGCACCAATCAAAATCTGCATGTTGAAAATATTTCCTTATCTCAGCTCTGAACTTCTTACATATAAACAGGGAATGACCAGTTTTCAAATCCACAATTGCCTATTTCTATAAGGAACTTTGGTTTAAATTTTCAAAGTGACCTAAGTTTTGCATCTTTGCTGTTTAACCTGGTTTTTACACCRACTAGAAGGTTAAGCAATGCCACTTTGATTTGTCTACATAACTTAAATAAGTTTACTATCCTTACATAAGGCAAGGAAGTTCTCTATAGATATATCACATTCAATATCGTCAAAGGTAAGCTTTGCATTAGCATACTGAGAACTTCAGCATAAACCTTGAGATTCTTGCGAACACTGGCAAGGAATTCACACAAAATAATTCCCTCGGAATTGTGCCCTTCACTGAGGAGTTTGATTATTACCTGTTTACTGAAGCAGCAGCAGCACCAGTAAAAGTCTCATGTGGCAGGACGAGTGGGAAGGGGAGGGCCATGCAACGAGCCAGCTGCATTACCTGTTGTAGCTATCAGCTGCAGAGGAGTTAGCACAGTAAKACTTTGGCTCGCTGCAGCCTTTCGYSCAGGCTGTTTCTTTAGTTTGATTATCCGAGCTTAAAGCTACCCGACACTTTCAAGCTTTAACAGCCTGTGTTTATTGCCAATGTTAAGGATTATACAGGTTTCTCTAATTAACTTACATCCACAATGGGATTTGTCAGAGTATGTTATCTTATGTATGACTTGGTAATTCAAAAGTTACAAATGGAAAGTGACTTGAAGTTTTGATAGGCTCCAACTCTATTAACCCCGAGCAAAGCCTGCAGCCCAGGGAGTCTCACTCTGAGGCCACCAATCTTTCTCCTCTTTCACACAGAACTGTGTGGTCCTAGTGCACCCTGGACCAAGGCTGGTCAGCAGCAGCCCCCAGTTCGGAGGAAGGAGATGATGCCCAGGGCTCCTGGCAAACCTGCAGATGCCTTCACTCAGGCTGCTCTGCCCATATGCCCTGTCATCAGCATGGGAGGCTGGCTGARCAACCCCAAGTACCCATCAACCTTAATTCTTAAGAAACTATTTAGCCCAGGATCTCAACAGTTTTGCATTTTGTTTTCTTTAAAATCCAAACAGACAACAACAATAACAATCTCCAGGGAGTTCTCTCCATGGTATTTCAACTGAAAGTAAGGGGGAAGACCCTTCAAAYTGAGGGATGCTACTTGGGACCAAGAGAAATTGCTGCTGCTGCTGCTTCTACTGCCACCAAGGTCCCCTAAATGTTCACAGAATACAAATGGCCARCCAGGATGGCATCCTGACACCATTCAAAAGGGTCTGTTTGGTAACAACTTACACATACTCCCCTACACAACAGACATCTAAATTACAGTTACAATCATATTAATTTAACAAAACTTTTTGAGAAACCATCACAGAAACTACACATTCATTGTCTTTTCTGGAGCTTTAAACTCCTCACCAACAAAGCGTGGTGGCAACAAGAGTTGTCTTGAGTCATGTCACTGCTCTGCACTGGCATGGGGAGAGGGTGGGTTTTGATACTTTGTGCAGATGAAAAAGGGAGTATTTCAAATTGATGGTATGGGGGATGTCTTAGTATCTTTAGTACCATATGGCAGCTTCAAAATATGAAAGTATCCTTTGGTTTGCAAGAGAAGTAACAGTCTTGCTCTCAGTTCTATGTGTGGTTTATCAGTTTTGGTTTGTTTCTRTGTGAGATTTCTTGGGTTTTCTTGTTTGCTTTTTGAACAGGTTTGGAAACAGGTTCTAGGAATGAGTTCAGGAACACTGGATACCGTGACTATTGCTTCACAGTAATATCTGGTAGGATCTGGAGAATGAGCTGATGGAAAAATATATATTTATAGATATGTACACATACACATACGCACATGCACACTCACACACACACACAGGAAGTAAAACATAATGCACCCTGCTCAAATGTATTTTGCTTGGAGTGATTTGTCTATTAAAGAAAAGAAAAAAAAAAAAAATTCACAGTTCCTCAACAGTAGTTAAAATTCCAGGTCAGCTACTGATAATGAAATTATTTCCCCTGTACTTGCATGAGGTAGACATCCCAAGAGGGTAAAGAAAACGGAACATTATGACAAAAGCATTAAGTTTTTTTCCTTTTCTGAACAGAAGGCCCCTTTCTGTTCGGTTCTTCAGGCGATGCGGACAACTTACTCGACGAAGGTTCCTGTGGCGACCTGCCCGAGCGCTCCGAGATCTCCGACCTGCCTTCCTGAGAGTGCGATGGAGACGAGAAGCCGTGCGTTCCTCCCCCTTCTCTCAGCAAGGCAGARGTGGAAGGCTGCGGTTCGGCCTCGTGTCTTCCCTGAGAACTAGCGGGCTGCTGCGAGACAGTTTTATGGGGGCAGTTCGCCACCATGTGCATGATGCTCTGACAGTAATGGCACTTCTTTGGCTGCGGAGGTAGACTACATTCTTTAGCGTGGTGGTCGAGGCCACCGCAGTTGTAGCATCTAAAACCAAAGAGAAAGAGCGAGTTTAGCAAAGCAGCGCTCAGCGGGAAGGTTTCCGCGGGCGCGGACCCCACTAGAGGGCAGCAGATCTCCAGACATCGCCATCCCGTGTCCCTGCCCGCCCGCCCGGACTGGCGCGTCCCGCTGTCCCCGTGTCGCTGTCGCCGCCGCCGCGCCGGGCGGGGATGCTCCGGCTGGGCCGCTCCCGCAGCCAGGTCCCGATGGACACGGTGCTGTCAGCCAGGGAACACCAAACCCGAGGGGACACGGTGCCGTGCCATGAGCCAGGCGCTGGCTGTGTCCCAGGGCTCCACCAGGCATGGCGAGCAGCGGCTCTGCGTCGAACCTCTGCACGGGGGCCAAGGGTTTGTAATGCCATTTACGGGTTCGGGCCAAAATAAAAGCAATAAAGCCCCGGCAAGAGTCAGGAAGCAGGGTGTGCTTGTTTTCCCTCAAAACTCCCGAACCACGTGCACACGGTTGTGACSGGGGTGCCGCTTTCCATGGGATGCGCTCCCGGGAGCCGAGGCGGGCAGAAGCCTCCTCCAGCCTCACGGACAGGGCTTGTCCCACATTTCCCAGAAATGGCTGAAGCCCACAAAGACCCTCTATTTAACCTTGTTAGCCAGGGGAGTCCTGAAGAACYCGCCAGTAATTCCTTACTGAATCCTTTGTAACACGCACCAGGAACACCAGTTATTGGATTACATTATTCTARCACAGGCTACAAAGAAATAATTACACGCCTTTGGCATGGTGACCTCATGTGCACCACTAAGTTTTTTTGTTTTGGCTATTTTTGTATGGTATCTGTTTCTTTGTTTTACAAAACTTGCATTGAATGCATAGACAATTTATAATAATCGAACATGCTACTGGAAAGAACTAAACCTATTTTTTCTTGGTTTTCTTTTCTTTAATCATCAACTAATTTTAAAAAATGATTGCAGAAGTACTTAAGTCTATGGAGTCAAGGATTAAAAAAATAAGAATGTAACTATGTACAAAATACTGCAACATGTTCTGGATCAASCCCCCATAAAGATATTTTACATTTTCAGGTTCCTTGAAAGTACCAAGGCACTATTTGACTATTTCACCTAGTATTTAGTAGTCTCTACTTGTTTATCCAATATCAAGAAGTTTAGTTCATGCAAAGCTGTATGTACAGCCCGAGTCTCATCTACTAAACTTGCTTTACCTTGCAAAGAAATGCTATTGACAAAACCTGTGTAATTTTTTTTTAAAGACTGCCAAATGGCCGTTAACACTTGTAAACCCACTCCAAGATACAATCCCTGGCACCGCCCACTTCACACCCCTTCATCACGAGTAGCAAGACATCAACCATATCTTCATTTCCACAGACAAACGAAAAAACAGCACAAGTTGCTCATGGCATGCTGCATGCCACCATGTCCTACAAGACTGACCTATAATATAAAGAAGTTAAATGATGAACAGAACTTCATTAATCTTTCAGAAATTATTGTAATTTATTGTTGTATCTTCACTAAAAATGAGTAAGAAGAAACCAAACCCAGTGAACGCTGCACTTCTACAACTGCATTAATAGGTTTTAGGTGAACTGGTTCCATTTTGATGTCACCACTGCACTGAAATTTGATGTGATTTTTCAGTGGAATTTGAAGACTATGCTTACAYTGCCCTGTCTGCATATACTACAGACTAACCCAATGAAGAGACACAGAGTCTAASAAAGCTTCCCTTGAATCACAAAGAAAATAGCAGTACAAGCCCCATTATCACTTAGTATTGATTTCTCTAGCACAGGAAGAGAAATGACATACTAAGTATATTGTAAAATCCAAACATCCTGATCTAAGGCAGAAACATCAAGCTTTTTTCTCCTACAGTTAAAAAAAAAAATGCAAGCTATTAAACAGTATCCCTCTGACTACTCTTCCCCAAATCATTTCAGGTATTTTTTAATTAGTGACTCCCACTTAACAGTATGTTCAGCATTCAGTCTTTCTAACTGGCATTCAGCTGTGTTTCCACTACAAGCTTTCTAAACACTTTCTGGATAAAACAATATGGAAATGAGCCTTGCAATTAGAGAAACGAAAGAACTGCAACAAGTAAAAATCTTTGAATGTTTTACCTTCTCCCCTTCCAATAAATACACCTATGAATCCACAAATGTGGTATTGATTGTAATTTAGGTTRTAATAGAGAATTATGTTTATCATTACCTTTATCATCAGTTTTTAGCAGCGTACTTGTCCCTGGGATAAGTGCATTGTAATACACTATAGCATAGGAGTGTGCAGACATTCTGGAAACCGTGTATTTTATCTTAATTAGGAATATGGAATGTTACAGCTGTGAAAGCATTTGCACATTTCTTTTTTTCCCTTAATATCCCATCTATTTAGAATTGTTAAAATAAACAAAAAGTTTGAAAATAGGGTAAAGGAGCAGGGTAGGTAGTACCCATGGACAAATCWATTTAWTCAGTCACTATGGCATGCACTGCCRACCACTTCACCTCACCAACTGGCCAAAAACCTGCTGTCAGGGCCCTGCTTCCACTCAAGGGCCTCTGYCACCCTTGGCATATATACTTATCAACACATCCTGTTTGCAAAATATTGTAATTCCTTGCAATTATTTAAATTGCCAGTAAATTGTCACTGTAAAAGAGAAACCTCTATCAGAAGTAGTCGTGATTAAAYTCTGATTTGGCTTTTTGGGGATGTTTTTTGTTACCAACCAACTCAAGCATGTGGGTGAGGTCACATTAGAATATGTATGTGCCAGGCAGGGTRTACCTGGACTTACACGGGAGGGTGGTATTTATTCAGTTCTTTTAAATAAGAATTCATTGCTTGATAATCACTCTTACCAGGAGAACAGATCTCACCTGCTCTGAAATGCCTTCYCTTTTCAGGGGATTTACACCAAAATGGAAGTAGTTATCTACCTCAAGAGCTCCCAAATGATACACAGCATCATCCCCAGGCACTAAGGCATGGCATTAACCCTTTCCTGAGCGCCTCAGCTCTTTGCTCCTCCCTGCTGTGTGTCCTTACCTCACAACATCACGAAACCTGAGAGCACAAACCTGAGAGCACGAGTGCACGTGGAAGCTCACACATTCACACCTCTATGTACATAATACAAAGAACAACACACCAGCTGCCTCCTGCTAGGAAAACTGACCAATTCTCATTCGATTCTGTTCACAAAACCTCTAGGTTAGTGCAACCATAGCAAGCATCTCTTCATTTCAGAAGCAGCACAGAAAAGATGTACCTTAGCTTAAATACAAAATGCAAGTTTATATGTAAATTATACCATTAAATGAATAAAACACAAAAAGCCCTTGGAAGTGCAATTATAATAGAATCGGCACTTACAAAGAACAAAAGTAAGAAGGATTTGCTAAAATAGGATTGTCTTTCTCACAGTAGGCTTCCATGATTTGCTAGGTAGCTTCAGGCTCAAAAACATAAAGAGACAGCAATTATCCTAACGGAAAATCCTTTCTTCACTACAGCACTGACAGGGAGGTGAATCAGGGTGACTTTTTTTTATATAAAAAAGATGAACATCTTAATAAAGGAACACCTTGAGGAACTTSTCTAGCATTGTATTTCAATACTCTCAAAAAATCTGTAACATTAATACCTGCTAATGAAGAAAGAAAAGAACATATAGCAAGGTTAAAAAAAGAGCTCCTAAATTCACTATGGATTTGTGATTGAATAGAACCATACATATTCAATGAAACATGAAGAAGCAAAAGTGTACAGATTCCAACATAAACGATGCTATATTAATTGCAAGAATCTAATGACGGAAATTGATTAGATGTACTCAATTTCACAACCAAATGATACTATCTGGTCTTTAGCTTTTTTCCCTTGTTCCAGCAATCAGATACTCCTACTCAGGAAGCACACCCCAGCCCTAGATTTTCTAAAACAACAATACCCCTGCCTTGCAAATACATTTTCCACAGCAACAGCTCAGATGGGTTAAGCAGCACTAGGTAGGGTAAACACAACTGCTTGCTTCTTTGAGCTGTTTTATAATATAATTTAGATGATAATCCAATACATATGATGAGCAGAGAATAGTATGTGTAGCTTGAGACTGTTGAGGGAAAAAGCTGTAAAATTACCCTAGTGACTGACTTGGGGGAGGGGGAACAGGGAATAAGGGGTTAACATCTAACAGAAATAGGAAAGGGAGGAAAGGGGGTACAGTCAGAGGAAGATAATAATTCATCAGGATATACTCCACACCAATTCCTCTTTTGTTCTTCCTTTCTGAATGCTATCAGGCAACAAAAAAAAGTGATTCTTGGTTAACAATACTCCATCTCGCAACATTCATGTCTTGAAAAATAGCATGGAATTCTAACACTATGTGCACGTGAGGCGCTGTTACAACACACTGAATGCAACTGCGCAGTTAAAGCGTAAATGAAATGTTTAAAATCGTACCTAAATGTGCTGTCCTTTTCAGCCATTACTTTCACTACATAGCTAAAGAAGGATAGATGGAACATGAAGCAGATTTCTGCAGCTGTATTTTGCAAAGGGCTGCAAAGGGAGGTTAAACTATCCATGATTTAACAGAAACTATGGCTCTTAGACATACCTAAGATTTTCACTCTTTGAGGTTCCAGTGACTTATTTTGAAAATCAGGCCATGAAAGAGTGCAWAGGGATGCTTTTCACTACTGGATGTGACACTTAGAAAAGCTCAGGGTGGAATGTGCCCGCTCAGGCACCACCTGGGACAGTGAAAAAGACTTCCAACACCTCAGCAGGGCTAAAAGGATCGTCTGGACTATTGACGATGTGCTAATTTCAAGTTGTCTTTGTTACAACTTGAAAGGCCAGGTGGGACGGGGGTTTCTAAACAACCTGGTCTAGTGGAAGGTGTTCCTGCCCTTGGAGGGGAGGTTGGAACCAGATGGTCTTTAAGGTTCCTTCCAASCCAAASCATTCTGTGATTCTATGATA